AGCCATAAAAAATGACAAAATCGTCTCATTCGCAACAACATGGATGGACCTCGAGGGTATGATGTTAAGCAAAATGAGCCAGATAGAGAAAGACAAACTCTGTATGATTCCACTCATATGTGGAAGATAAACAAACACATGGACAAAGAGAACAGATTAGTGGTTACCAGGGGGGTACAGGGGTGGGGGTGGGCACAAAGGATGAAGGGGCACACCTATGAGATGACTGACAAATAACAACGTACAAGTGAAATTTCACACTGTTGTAAACTATCATAATCCCCCCAAAAAAAAACCCCACAATGAGCTATCACTGTACTTCTACTCTGATGGCTACAATCAAAAAAAGAAAAAAAGGAAAATAAGTGTTGGTGAGGTTGTGGAGAAACTGGCACTCTTGTAAATTTCTAGTGGGGATGTATAATGATGCAGCTGCTGTGGGAAACAGTTTGGCAGCGCCTCAGGAAGCTGGACACAGATGACCTAGCATTCCACTACCAGGTATACCCAAAAGAATTCAAAACAGGGACTCAAACAGAAACTTGTACATCAATGTTCACTGCTGCATTATTCACAATAGCCAAAAGGTGGAAACAACCCAAGTGCCTATCAACACATGAATGGATAAACAAAATGTGGTACATCCATACAATGAAATTTATTGTCATAAAAAGGAATGAAGTTATGATATGTGCTACAACATGGATAAACTTTGAAAACATTATGCTAAGGGAAATAAGTCAGACATAAAAGGAGAAATACTGTATGATTGCACTTATATGAAATATCTAGAATGATCAAATTCAAAGAGACAGAAAGTATATTAGAAGTTGTGAGGGCCCCGGGGAAGGGAAGAGTGGAGAGTTAGTGCTTAATGGTTACAGGGTTTCTGTTTGGGGTTATGAAAAAGTTTTGGAATAGATACTGATGATGGGGTTACAACATTGTGAATATAATTAATGCCATTGAATTGTATACTTTAAAAATTGGTTAAAATGGGAAATTTTATGTTTATATAAATACATATATATATATGTATATATATATACCTCATCAAAATTTTAAAAAATGGGGAAAAAAACAACCATATCACAGTGTACCAGATTTCAATTTCCAGTTTTCCCACAATGTAGCCGCCCCTGACGCAGGAAGGGTTAATAATCACTGGAAAAGGCTTGCCAACAAACTGTGACTCAGAGGTGAGAAGGCCAGTTAGTCAATGACGGGTAAGACCTCCAGGGGGAGGCAACCTAAGCCAGGCACGGTCGCCTGGGGGCACAGATGGAGACACGATATGGGGAGCAGGAGGGGCCATTGCCTAGGAGGCCTTGCATGCTCCGAGATAAAAATATACGAGCACAGCGAAAACATGATAATATCAAAACAGAGGCCGAGGGAGGGCTCCTTGAGAAATCACTAAGAATTCTTGGCATTCACTGATTTCTTTGTCCAGAACACCTGTGTATGTTTAACAGCTGTAAGCTATGTATTATTGAAACGCTGGTTATAATAAACTCAGAGTGGCCATCAGGCCTCTCTGCATCTATCCTGATGTGTACATTGGATTGCAACACTGACACACTTAATAACAGAGTAATCCTTCTGAGCCTATTTTCTGATTTGTAACAATAACAATAATCAATAATAACAATTACTGAGGAATTACTGTGGCAAACCATTGATCCAAGCCCTTGCATTAACTAATTTAATCTTTACAATGACACTATAGAACTAGATACTATAATTATCTCATTTTACAGACAGGAAATCGAAGCACAGAGTGGTCAAGCAACTTGCCTAGTAAGTGCCAGTTGAGTTTTGTACCTAGGCAATCTGGTGCTGGAGCCATTGGTTTTGAATGCTAATAAATACTAAGATCATGAAACCTACTTCATAGGGTTGTTTTAAGAATGAATCATATCTTTAAAGTGCTTAGTACAGACCCTAGCACCAAGTAGATATTCAGTACATGGTACCAGGCATTGGCAAAAAGACTATAAAAGATAGGGGAAAAAAATCTAAAGCAATGATAAAAGGTACCTCTTTCTCAAAGGGGGTACCATTGGCATTTTGGGCCAGATGACTCTTCATTGTCCAATGGGTCCTACACCCTGCAGATGTTTATAATCCCTGAACACCATATACTAAATGTCATACTGCTCTCCCCCACCCTGTTAGGGACAACTAAAAAAAAAACTCCACAGATTTCCAAGGAGGCACTATCACCTCTAGTTGAGAACTAATGATAGAAGGATTCTGCACTCAGATTTCTTTACAGGTATCTTAACTGCTTGCTCATCTTTGAAGAAACAAACTATAAAAGCAGAAAATGCATTTCAGATATAATTTGCACTCAAAAGACTACTGTAATACCAATTAGCAGACCCACCAGCAAAGAAAAGGTCATGACTGTGTATCAAGAGATTAGCATTTTAAGTTAAATAAAACGTGAGAGGTATTTAGGTATGTTTTTATCTCCTGCTGCTGTGATCAAATGCTCAACTACTGAGTCTACTGCACTAAACTTCTTTTAGGCATATTTTCTGAAAACTATCATAATTATTTGAGACATTTATTCCATGGACAAAGGCTTAGTGTCCTGGCAGCTTTTAAATATTCAGAAGTTGTCAACTTCAAAAAAATTCAAATAAAAACTCATTACAGAAATAACCATTCTTCTAATTTTGCTGAGGAAATTCTGCCATGAAAAAGTGAGATTTGGGGCTGGCCCAGAGGCTCAGTGGTTAAGTTCACGCGCTCTGCTTCAGCGGCCCAAAGTTCACTGGTTCGGATCCTGGGTGCAGACCTATGCACTGCTTATCAATAGAGGAAGATGGGTATAGATGTTAGCACAGGGCTAATCTTCCCCAAAAAAGAAAAAAAAAGTCAGATTAAAAAAGAAAGTGAGATCCCTGTTATTTAGTAACACATTCATCCTTAACTTGAAACTTTTCTCTTTTTTTTTGAGGAAGATTAGCCCTGAGCTAACATCTGCCACCAATCCTCCTCTTTTTGCTGAGCAAGACTGGCCCTGAGCTAACTCTGTGCCCATCTTCCTCTACTTTATATGTGGGATGCCTGCCACAGCATGGCTCGCCAAGCGGTGCCATGTCTGCACCAGAGATCTGAACCTGCAAATCGCAGGCCACCGAAGCAGAATGTGCGAACTTAACTGCTGTGCCACCGGGATGGCCCCAACGTGAAACTTTTTAAACAATATAACTTTTTATAACAATATTAACTTTTTAAAACAATATAACCACTATTGAAACATACTGACAACAAAATATTTTTTAATCAAGTATTACATTTTTTTAAATTGTACAATCTAAACCACTATTTTTACAATAGAAAACAATACTCTTGTAACTGACATGAATATCCACATTTTTAGGCATCGAAAACATTTCAGAAGGTTTGGTTGACCTCTCTTACTCCTGCAAGCAATACAAAGATTCTGGCATCCAAATAACAGATAACTTTTAAAACATACTTTCTACCAGAAAGACGTGTAACTCAAGAAAACTTTCATTTCTAACAACTATAAGATGTAAATTTAACCCAGAAGGGAAATATTACTAAATTTTTCCACAGGTGACAAATTAGAAATTCTTTAATAACTTTTCACTAAAAGCAAAGATCTGAATAATAAAACAGAAGGAACTAAACTTGAAAAGACCGTCAAAATTGTTTGCTTACTTGACTTCTCTAAAAAAATTCTGATTATGACAGATGCTTCTGTTATTGTCTAAAATAAAATAGCAATGAGGAGACAGACCAACAAATACTCTATTTCCAAAAGATGAGTTTAATTGCTTTCCTGCAAGTCTTAAGTTAAAAGAACTCCAAGCAGATAAACTGGTATTAGTAGACAGACTGGAAAATCCATTCTAGATTTTGAAGTAAATATAGCATATATAGTAGGTTCTTACGTCTTGAATAAAAAAATGAAACATGGAAATTAGCAAGGACTGAAAGAAAGTAAACACAGGGAAAAAATATAAACAAATTAAAAAAAATAGAAAAGACTTCAGTGCACTCATTTCTTACATGCAAGCACAGTCTTCAGGAGTTTTCATTTATATGAAGAATAAGTATACTAATACCCCCACTTCTGCTAATTGAGCAGGCTGCCCTTGAGCCAGGTTTCAGCCTTTGTGTGGAGGCACGTGACTTGGTTCTTCCAGCATGCTTTTATTCTGAGCCCCTCTCATGGAGATTTATGGCTGAATGTTCTCTTATACGCGTTGTTGCATAAAAATCCTTTTTTAAAAAAAAAATCACCTTTATTTTGTTAAAAAATAACTCTTCTATGAATTGGAATATTAACAATAATCCAGGCTCATTTGCACGGTCTCCAAACAATTTAGAAAACAGCGAATGTTACTGCTATAGCTGTCATCAAAGCTTTAGGAATTGTTACATTTAACTAGAGAAATGACATTTGTTTATAGCACATAATTACAAATTTAGAGTATATAATTGCACATGCTAAAGTTTACTTTTTCATTCCATTCCACTAATCATAATGATGATTAATGATTGTTTAAATCAAGTTTTTGCCAATGAGTAGAAACTCTGGGACCAATTTCACCCTTATAAAGAGTAAATTCAATAAACGGGAAAACCCATCATAAATAGTTTCCATTGCTTTCCCCTCTTCACATAGTATCTAAAACGATAAGGAGTAAAAGAATAAGTATTTATGTACTTTTTTTTTGAATATACTTTCTCCAGATTCCTGAGTCTACTACTCCACTTACACTTCATGACATCATTGCTAGCCACCAGATTTATAGCCACCTGTCACTGAGTCTACAGCAGGGAAGAAAAGTGAACATTTAGTGCTGACAGAGGAATTTTTTGAATCATCTGCAAACCTGAGCTAAATAACAGGACTAAAGGACTATGCCCAGGGCCTTGAAATCAGGATGCTAAGTCATACTGCCCAAAGAGGCAATGATTCACTGTACAAATGTTTATTTTTTTAATGTACTTACGGTAGCCACATTTTTTACAGCCTGCTCGGACGCTGTCCTTGTTGCAACCTGAAATACAATGGAATAACATTTTAGGAGACATATAAACAGTAAAAACATAAAAAATTTCATCACATGATAAAGCTAAGAAAATCACTTGTAGAATTTTTTCTTAAAAAAGAATTCATCCCTGACCCAGCTTAGTAACACTACTAATGATTATTACTAGAAATCATTGGCAAAGCCAGTTTGTTCAAATTATTTCCTTTGACAAACACTTCAAGAACATAGTTTTCTCTAATTCAGCAGAAATGCAACATTACAGTCAGGAGCTTAAACATTCCAGGAATTCTATAACACTGAAGAAGAAATTCCAGGGTACTTCAGCCTACTACTCAAATGTAAAGTAGTTAATTTACGAGATAGATAAGTGAACATTCAGGTTAACAAATGTTTTCCTGCTTTCCCTTAGAAGAAAAAAAAATTCTGACTTCTTAAAGGAATTTGTGAAATTCCAGAAAAACACTTTAATTGCTAGGTATTATAAGAAACATCTCAATTTAGCATTCAAATTTTGACAAGAGAAAACAAACTAGTGACACATTCAGTCTGATCAATGTTTAGAGATATTTACAGTATCTCTGTGTAATTATTGGTATATGCAGGTAATGTTGAAGATAAAAATAACAGATGAAATAAATTAAAACTGATTTTTTTACAGTGAAAAATATATATAACATACAAGTTACCATCTTAACCATTTTTAAGTGTACAATTTAGTGGCATTAAATACATTCACAATGTTGTACAACCATCATCATTACTTATTTCCAAAACTTCTTCATCATTCTAAACAGTAATTGTACCCATTAAACAATAACTACCCATTGCTGCTTCCCTCTAGCCCCTAGTAATCTCTATTCTACTTTTTGTCTCTATGAATTTACCTATTCTAGGTATCTCATAAAAGCGGAATCATACAATATTTGTTCTTTTGTATCTGGTTTATTTTACTTGGCATAATGTTTTCAAGGTTCATCCATATTGTAGCACATGTCAGAATGTCATTCCTTTTCATGGCTGAATAATATTCCATCATATGTATACACACTTGAATCTGATTTTAACCTCCAATAAGGGTTCTCATCAACCAATCAGAGGGCCCGTACAGTATCATAGTATTTCCTTAATAAAGGACATCTGACTCCTAAAGCCCTCAAATAGAGCTATCATCCCAATTTAATAATAAATTAAAGTACATAGTGCAAAAATACAACAGTGCTAATTTAAAAAGAAAGATCATTTCAAGCCATTTCTTTAATCTTAAGAAGTCAAAACATTAGTCATTTTTTCTCTAATCCCAATTTTGCTTTAAAATATACATTATTGAATTGTTCTAATAAAAATATGGTCAGTTCTGCTGTAATACTTGTTTTAAAACATAAATTTGTTCCAATGCAATTGATGTAAGAGGGAACAATGTGAGCATAACGTGACTTTTGTCCATGAAACACACTAGGAGAATGCAGAAAACTGCATCCAGTCGCTCTGAGTCTCATAGGAATATATAAAACACACACAGGGACACACCTCAAAATATTTCTAGCAACCTCAGTTCACCATGTATGCTGTGAGTGGCGCCCATCCACACCTAGTGGTACAACCTTCCATCTGATTTCTTATTATTACCTTCCCACCATTACTTCAGAACAATTCACAAGCTGCAATTCTTCTGAACTCCACTTCCACAGCAAATTGCAGGTCTTTTAAAAGGTATGGTGCCACATTTTTTGTAGTACTTATGTACCTTTTATCTACTTAACATGTGCGAAACTCTGCTGTTTTTATTAGGTTCCTATCATTTTTTATTTATCACTGATGAAGCTTGTTTTCTTTTCTTTTCTTTTTTTGGTGAGGAAGATTGGCTCTGAGCTAAGATCCATTGCCAATCTTCCTCTTTTTGCTTCAGGTAGATTGTCCCTGAGCTAACATCTGTGCCAGCCTTCCTCTATTTTGTGTGTGGGATGCCACCACAGCAGGGCTTGATGAGCAGTGTGGGGGTCCAGGCCAAGGATCTGAACCAGTGAACCCTGGGCCGCCGAAGTGGAGCATGCAAGCTTAACTGGGCCAGCCCCACTGATGAAGTTTTGAGTGTTGTTCCCCAATCTCATTTTTTCTCATAAACTTTGTGGTTTTTATTGCATAGTGTAGGAGTACATATGCTGCACTGTAGCAGGACTGTGAAATAAAATTGGATTAATAATAAAATCTGAGGCTCTTTCATTATGAAATAACTGCATGTTGAAAAAAGCTCAGAGAATTCGGGTCAACGTTAAGTATGTCTCCATAGAAACGTAGATGCTGAATAACACTGAACAAAACTGTACTAAATGCACTATTACCAATCCTACAACAAACTAAAAATGTTGTAACAGACAGATCTGAAATGATTTCATGTCATTATGTATTAGAAATGAACTCATTCGGGGCCAGCCCCATGGCTGAGTGGTTAAGTTCCTGCGCTCTGCTTGGGTGGCCCAGGGTTCGTCGGTTCGTATCCTTCTCTTCAGGCAATGCTCTGGCAGCATCCCACATACAGAATAACTTACAACTAGAAATATACAACTATGTACTGGGGCTTTGGGGAGGGAAAAAATTGGCAACAGATGTTAGCTCAGGGCCAATCTTAAAAAAATAAATAAACGAAATGAATTCACTTATGACTAAAGACATCAATAAAACCCATCATTCATGTATCTCGTATTTTTAGAATGAACAAAATATGAAACTTTTTCAGAGGTCATCTTCTTTAACAAAGTTGGAACTTTTACATGAAAGGGAAATATAACAAGAACTCTAAATAAAGTAACTCCATATCAGCTATTTCCTCACCAGCCTTTGGTCAAGTTAAGATTTCCAGCTTCATTTGTCTCTAATTTTCATGACTGTCTGCCCACCTGAATGCTTCTACCTGGGACTTTGAATGTGACGCAACTGACATCATAAATCTGAGATAAGCGACACCATGAAGTGGGGGTAGTTAATTCATTCTGCTGTCAGGGTCCAGCTTCTGGCGGCAGTGATGCCACTGGCAGAAGCAGCCCCAACCAGGTCTGGGCCTGTGCAGGATCTTGGGTATGGATTCCCCTGGTCTTGCCTATTTTCTGAGACTTATTATCTAGCCTTTGCTTAGACTTTGTGAGTTCCCTCATATCTTTCTTTTTCTGCTTAAATTAACTAATCCGTTTCTGTTGTTTGGAACAAGAACTCTGCTGATACAATGGTACTTGCAATTCAAGTCAAACTGAATAGCAAGGCTATATTGTCAGGCCCTTACTTTGATGAGAAGTTATTGATTTCCCCATCTTAGGTTCCCACACTGTTCTCTGTTCCACTTCTCCTTAAACTTTGCTAAGGCTGTTCAGAGTAATAATGGAGCCTGCCTCCTTCAAAATGTTCCATTATAATTATGACCTATAATCCAAAAGCCATTAAATAAAAACTCACAAGTTTGACTACATTAAAAAATCTGAATGGCAAAGACCACCAAAAGTAAACTCAAAAGACATATGAAAACTTGGGAAAAAATATTTGCAATTCATAGCACCAACAAAGGGCAATTATTCCTACTGTATAAACTGCAGCAAATCATTTGGAAAAAGACAAAGAACCAATAGTAAAAAAAAGGCAAAAGAGTTGAACAGAAAGTTCACAGAAAATAAAATAAAAACAACTTTGAAACATATGGAGAGATGCTCAGCCATATTCATAATAAGTGAAATGTACACTAAAATCTGTACTGGGATTCCATTTTCACTTATCAGAACAATAAAGACTGAAAAGGTTAAAGAGGGTGTGGGGGACATTCTCCCATACATTGCTAGTGGGAGTGTAAATCAGAACCATCTCTATGGAAAGCAAGCTGACAAACTATGAGAATTATAAATGTACATACTCCTTCAACCCAGCACTTCCATATCTGGCAATTAATCCTCTCAATTTACTTGCACAAATGCATACTAATTTATGTACAAAGTTATTCACTGTAGCTTTGTTTGTAATAGTAAAAGAGTAGAAATAATTTAGATATAAATAAATTATGGTATGAAAGAATGAGGATGGTCTTAATGATATGTGATAATCTCTAAGACATATTATAAAGAGAAAAAAGCAAGGTGTAGAACAGTGCTTACGGTATGTTGCCATTTGTACAAAGCAAAGGAGATTTTATCTATACAATACAGCTTATATTTAGATTTTATTGATTGATAGGGATATGAAAGAAATATCTCTATAAGGATACAAATTGGTTACCTAAAGAAAGGAGAACTGAGTCGGGGGGAGAAAAGGCGAGAGACAGGTCACTATACACATTCGGTACCATTATAATTTGAAATCTGAATGGGTTAGCATCTCAAAAATCAAATTAAAAAACCTCCCTCCAACAAACGAAACCCCAACACTAAGAAGAGTTTCTGTCATGCAAGCATTGTTTGACAAAAGGCAATGATTGCACTTGTAAATTTTTCAGGGAGCCTCCACTGCATATTCTCAATAAAATTTTATTAACTGATGGATTTAGGAATAAATTTTAGAGATCTTCATTTTAGAGTTTCTTAAACATTAATAAGGGCTTATTCTGAATCTAGAATTCTGTTGAGCAACTTGAGTGGTAGTGAAGGGCACAGGCAATTAGGCTGCTCCTTCACCTCCCAGTAACTTAGAGCAGAGAATGCCAGTTTCTCCGGATTGCAGACCATGCCAGGTAATTGTGTATACAACTCAGTGCTTAGCATGGGGTAGAGTTGCTAGGAGGTCCTTGACAATTATTTGTTGCTTTGAGGTTATAAACTTAAGAAAATATTTCTGCAGTTGGGATCAGCAACTTCTGTAGCTCCCAGTTGCTAGCTGTGAAACTAGATAGTGTCTGCAGTGTCACTGGCCCATCTGAGGCATGACAGGCACTAGAAGAAAAGGAATAAAAGTAAGAAGGATAATAGAAATCAAAATAATGGTTGCTGGGCAAAGAAAGCGGGAAATGACAGAGGGGTGATGGAAATATTCAAAAT